GGCTTCTGCTCTGCAAAGCACACGGGTACTCACATAGGGGGTGAATATTTTAACCCATCGGGGTTTCTTCTCTCCCCGCGCGTATTCGAAACAAAAGGCCATTCCCTCCTCGTCCGTGTCCCACCGCTGCATCTCGTCCCATTCGAATGCTATTACCTGGTTCTGGAGGAAGACGACAGCGAGGGGCCCCCCCGGGAAGGGCAGCTTTAAGGCAGATGGGGCAGTGGATGCCCCGCACAGCCTCGCAGGAGCTGAGGAAGCAGCTGTGGGAGCACCCGTTGGCACCCAGACAAACCCCTGCTCTCACACCCCCTGCCAGGACCCCTCCGGAGGCCACTCAGCACCAGCCCAGAGCCCCGGGGACACGGTGCTGGTGGCAGCAAACCCTCACCTCCAGCTGCCCCTCCTCGGTGCAGGCGTGGAGTTTAAAGTGCTTAATGCTGATGGCTGTGATGACGTGTCCCTTGCGCCGGGAGTCACAGGAGCAGTGGGGGAAGATGATCTCGTTGTAGCCCTCACACGTCCGTAACATGTTTAAATACTGCAGAGGGAAAGGAGCAGGCGTTAGATCCCGAGCCCTGCTCCTCACCTGGGAAATCCCAGCCCAAGAGGATGCATCCCCTCCACAGGAACAGGGGTGTGTGTGTATATGCTGGGATAGACCCTTTCCGAAGATTCTGAACTATCTTTAGTTATGAGAAAGCTACTGAGATGAGCAGAGACCAAAGAGCCATGAGACAACCCACAGGAAGAAGCACCTATTTACTGATCCTTATCATTAGTTAATAATTCATTGTCTTGGCTCAGCATCGCAGGTGACCCTTCCAGGCCCCCCCAGGCCAGTCTCCCTGCAGGAACAGGCTCTGAGGAGGGCTTCAACCAAGCCCAGCCAGGTTGGAGAAGAGGATCCCTCTCCGAGAGCACAGGCGGGTGCACTGAGGCAGGGAAAGTTCATTTGGTACCAGCAGCCCTGAGCAACCCAGGAAGTTATCTACAAGTCAGATTCTTCTGCTGTTTGATCTCGGAGCCAAGCTTGTCTGGCAGATGAGCTCAGGGCAGCCCAAGCCAGGCAGGCTCCCTGCAGCCCTTGGGTTTGCTGGGCAGTGATAAGAGGCAGAACCCCCCTGACCAGTCAGTGAGCTCTGACACAGGATTTGCCATCTGGGAGGAATTCTGCCAGGCAAAGAATAAAGAAACCAAAGCACCAAAGAGGCAGCAACTTGTGTTCCAAGAGGGCCAGGACCTCCCCCCCTCCTTGGCTACCCAGCACCAGCACCTCAGAGCCAGCCTGAAGCAGGAGACCTTCACCTCTCAGTTGCTGTCCCCGAAGGGCTGCAGGGGAAGGATTTCCACACCGTGTTCAGCACCTCACCCTTCACCACAGACAACCCACGGGGTTGGAGCCAAGTCAATGGGGGATCTTGCCAAGGACAAGCTGCTGCTCAAACGTGCCAGGCACAAGGGGTGGGTTTGGTTCATGCAGCCGCCGACCCTTGGGCAGGTCCCAGCCCTCTCCTGGCATTCCCGTCTGTGCTCCCTGCCAGCACCTCCTGCACGGGGCCCACACCCCCAGCTCCTGCTTTCCAGGAAAGGCTGCGTGCATCGAATGGGTGGGAAGGGACCTGAAAGCTCCTCCTCCATGTCCACGGGCAGGGACACCTTCCACTAGAGCAGGTTGCTCCAAGCCCCTGTGTCCAACCTGGCCTTGAACACTGCGAGCGATCGGGCAG